AAGCTTAATGTGGATGGAGCTGCTAATGGAGTTCATGGTCCTGCGACAGCTGACGGTATCTTGAGAGATAACCAGGGGAGATGGGAACGAGGATTTGTTGCCAATTTGGGGACTTGCTCGGCGATTCAAGCAGAGCTTTGGGGGATTTATCATGGGCTCGGTTTGGCTTGGCAGAGTGCCAGCAGAACTCTTATTGTTGAGACGGATTCCCAACTTGCTCTCCAACTCATCGAGAAGAGGACTGACCGTCTTCATCCTCTCGCGACTCTTTTGACGGCAATCAGACGGAGACTTGCCCAAGATTGGGTGGTGCGTCTTTGTCATACTTACCGGGAATGGAATAGAGTCGCGGACTGGCTCTCGAAGCACAGTCTCGTCTATTCCTATGGTAAGTATGATTTAGACACGTCTCCTCAAGCCCTTCAAGCCATCATTGGTGATGATATCAGGGGCCAATCTTTCCCCATGAATGTTGTTGAGCCTCCACCCCGCATATCTCTCCTCCCAAACCATCCAGCCACCACGTGGGTCCCTCCACCAGATGACTATTTGAAGATCAATTTCGACGTTGCTGTTTGTGCAACCAGGTGTTCGTCTGGGCTTGTTGTCCGTGTGTCAAACGGGCATGTGGTGTTGGCGTTTGGGTTGCGACATCAGGGAATAGTCAGCCCTACCTGGCAGAGCTCCTAGCCATTAGAGACGCTATCTACATCGTTTCCTCAAGATCATTGACTCACGTGATAGTCGAAGGTAATTTCGAAGTGGTCGTCAATCAGGTCCGACATGCGCCATAGAAAACTCGATTGGTGGTCCGGTGCTCCGGGAGTGTCCTCATATCCTAGACTCCTTGTCAGTTTGTATAGAGTTTAGGGCAGTGCCTAGAGCTGACAATAGTGCTGCCCATAGAGTGGCGCGTAAAGCACTACTTTTATCTCATCTAGAGCTAGAATCTTTCAATTTTTTGGGGTGGCTTCATTTGATTTTTATTGTAAGGGGTCCTGGGTAGTTTTGTTTGTATAACTCTTGTTTTCTCTTGATATCACTCGGAAATAATAATAAAAAAGACCTTTTTGATTTGCATATGCAATTGCATTTGTTGCATGCTTGCAAATATGCAATTGGTACCACATTAATGTAATTGATTTTGCAATTGCAAGCACTCATGTCATGTCATCTTACAATTGAGAAAGCAATACCAATGTAGACGCTCTAACCACTCATACGAAGAGTTGCCTCCTTTCGTACGCACCCATTCATTCTCTATAAATAGCACTTAACCCCTCTGGTTTTTACATAGATTTTCTCATACAAAAACTCTGCCAAAAATCCAAACTGGTTTTTTATGCATTCTTTTCAAAAGAGAAAATTGAGTCAAGTGTGTTCTCGCCGTTTTCGCTGCGTTCATTGGTTTTCGGGGTTTGAGGTACCGCTATGTCGGAAAGGTACGTCCTTTCTATCATGGGAGGAATAATTCCATAACCTTGGGTACTAGAGGGGAATAAGATTTCTTAAAGAGAGGCATTGAATTATGTCTGATAGGACGTTTGCATGTTGTTCACATGATTTTTCGTGATCTTATAAGTTACTTGTTTTGCAAGATATAGTATATGTGAACAATTTTCCATAACACTCGGAAGAGGGAGTCTTCAGGCAAAGGCGGAAAGAAGAGATCATTGGGGGATATTGGAGTTGCGAGCGACCGAGGATGAGCAGAGTTCGAAGGGTAATCGTTCGAGGTCAGCTGTCATCGAATTCTCTATGGAGGAAGGAGAACTGAGCTGTCAGATGGATTCAACGGTCGCTATAGGAGGAAGGAGGTCGAAGGCTCTAAGCAAAGAGTTTCGTGTGTTTGAATAGGACGGGGATAAGAGGTAGACTATATGTTTAGTTCTGAGGTTTTTGGAAAAATTGGGGATAAATTCCAGATGTCTATAAATACGTTTACGTTAAAATTGGAAAAACAAATAAATTACAGGGAAATGAAAAACTTGTTTACTAATAACTGAAGTTTCACAAGTTCAAACCATATAGACCATCACCTACTTCTTCATAATTTTTCTCCAAATTTTAGGGGGTGTTCCGGCAAACGCTTTTGGGTTCGCCCATGTACTTGTCCCTTCCTCGAACCATAGATCCCTAGAATTTTGCCGCCATGAGACTTCTTCCTTTTTTAAAATCACATTTAGGTAGGCTTCCTTACAATCCTAATAATATGAATCATTTAGGCGTGTTATTCGTGTTTATGGCAATATAAGTGTAATTATTGATTTAATGAGTGTTTATAGCAATATAGTTGTATAAATCTACACATACTATAATACACCGAAGGGAAAAATGGGAGCCACATTTCAAATTTTCTGCAACGAGAGTGAAAGTAGGAAGGACATTTTGGTCTTCACAATTACTTTTTTTTATTCATTAAAAAGACACGTACTGGGATTCGAACCATGACCATTTTAAAGAAAAACAACAATCATAACCAATCACACTAAGTACATTTGTTGTATCTTTTTAAATTAAAAATATATAATAGCAGGGAGGAAAAAATTCTTCCCCCATTTCAAATTTCTTGCTCGTGGAGCGTTTGTAGGAAGGGTAGAATAGGGAATGTCAATTTTTTTCTCTTTCCTCTGTGGAACGGGCCAACTTACCGTACACATGCGGATTTAAACGGGTCAAGGAGTGTCAATTTTTTTCTTTAAGCTCTTTTATTTCTCCATGGTGATAAAATATATATGAAAAGGCAAAAACAATACTCCTTTTTATTGCTAAAAATAAAAAATTTAATAATAAACTAATACATGGTATCTAATGGGCTAACTGCTAACTATAAAATAAAAGAGTTGAATGAGCCTGACCGACACGGGATTTGGCCATCAAGTAAAACAAATGAACATCATTGGTTTGCCATTCTAAAAGCGTTTGTAGGAAGGGTAGAATATGGAGTGTCAATTTTTTTCTCTTTCCTCTGTGGAACGGGCCAACTTACCGTACACATGCGGATTTAAACGGGTCCAGGAGTGTCAATTTTTTTCTTTAAGCCCTTTTATTTCTCCGTGGTGATAAAATATATATGAAAAGGCAAAAAATAATACTTCTTTTTATTGCTAAAAATATAAAATTTAACAATAAACTAATGCATGGTATCTAATGGGCTAACCGCTAACCATAAAATAAAAGAGTTGAATGGGCCTGACCTACACGGGATTTGGCCATACAGTAAAACAAATGAACATCATTGGCTAAAATATAATGTATTTTAAAGTTATTCAATGGTTCAACCTCGACCAACCCAATTAGTCCAATTTTTATCATTTCAAATATATATTATATAATTATTTGATATCATAATGATCAAATTATAGTGTATTTTACAGGGAATCGTTTGATATTTGTTAGTAAAAAACTAAACAGAAAGATCTATTTGGTTATTTTAAACATTAAAACGATCCTAAACATTTTCAGTTCCTTTTGAATTTCTATGGTTTTATTCCCGAATAAATGATGTGCAAATGGTAAATTGCAGTCATCTCTTTTCTTTCACTATTTTTTATTTTCAAATAGAAAGTTTAAAAGTTAAGAACAATTAGAATTTTGCATGGGTCGGTCAAACAGGCTTAATTTCAAGTTTTTTTTTTTTGATGAATTAATTTCAAGTTTTGGCCCGTTTTGATCAAGTCTAATTTATAATCACATGGTTCCCTGATACTCGATAAAAATCTCAATCCAAACCAGTTTGGCAGGTGAGTCCGTGTTTATCACCATTTTCTAGGGATACGACAACGGTGGTTCCTATCCCAAATCGTGTTGTTCGTTCTTAATTTTCTTAGATTTTATCATGGCCTGACAAAAACCAGAAAGGACAATGACGACAAGATGAAAGTTTTATAAAGCAAATTAATCGGCCAACGGGTCGAGTAAAAGCTAGCAACGATTGTGAGATGCTAATTTTCCGAAAACCTACGAGATAGGCGATTTTTTATTCGATTTTCTGGAATCCGGTTTCTATAAAACTTACTCCACCTCATCATATTACCAGAAACAATATTGTTTCACAAGGTAACAAATACTTGATTTTGGTTCATAAGGCCGATTTTTGATTCGTTGCATCATTCATGTCTCTTTCCTGCTAAAATTCATTATTTTTATCACGTGTTTTTAAAAAAAACTATACAACAATAAGCTATACACCCCATTACATTATCAAATTTCATACCTCACCTTCATCCGGCCAATTGGCCGGGGCCACGCTAGTTTTTTAGTAATATAATGATGTGGGCATTTGGAGGAATTACTCACCGCTATTTTCTGTGAACTCATGAGTACCTATGTTAGTATTTGAGATCATTGGATTGAGTTAGGAATGATAATGGACGAATCAGGGGTGGATAGAGACTATCGATTACTCCATTCTAACAAGTTCTGGTTTTATCCATATCAATACTCATGTAAGATTTAGATAGTGAATTAAAATCATTCTTATACTTAATCGGGTATCGGGTATACATGAATATCCACATATACTAATTTTCCTTTATGTTCTTAACTATTGTGTTACAAATCACAAATACGTTAACATTACAAAAATGAAAATTCATAAATAACAAATCACCAATACCAAGAGAAATAATAAACAAGGAACACTAGTTTATAATATGCTACAAATATACTAGGAATACCGATTATGTTAATTAAAAAATGATGATTTATAATATGCAAATTAAAAAAAGAGTATATGCATGTATTTCGAGTTGGATAATAAAAAAATCACAACCAATTATTATCCTGATATTCGGGTTCGAATTTTATCCATACTACCAAATTATGTATCTAGTTCAAGTTTTATCCTACCCGATCGACTGATTTGGATAAGTATCCAAAATTTAATTATTTTTGCCATCGGAATGGAATTTTCTCTTTCAAAACCAATTAATTATTTTGTCGGTTTTTTTTTCTTTCTGATGCACCCTCTGGCTCTGAGTTGGGTTTGAATCAACCCGACCCAACCCGATCCGATCCATGTTCATCCCATCTTTTGCTGGCTTGCTGCTAAAGTGCTAATGCTATGCCTGTGGCCACGAAATTCTAGCTGGTTCGTGAAGCAGAAGCAGGGGGCAGGCACATCTCCAAAAGATAGGTTTCTGGAACTGGAAATCAATCTTCTCAAGCTGCGAAAACGAATTACTGACGAGGGGAAGTAATAAAAGGCTGGTTGGTAGTGTTGAAGCCCTCGAGTCGTTGAATTCTCATCTCAGCCTTTTACAGAAGAAGTGGATAAGAGGTTCTCCAACATGACTACCACAGTGTCCCTCCAGCTCTCCAATTTCCCTCCTCCTTCCCCATTACCTCCATCTTTTCCGGCAACACATTCAGCCTTCTTTCGCCGGGCTCCATCTGGGCACGCCGGATGGGCAAAAGGATTGGTAGCAAATGGCAGTGGCCGGAGGTGGAGAAACGCTGGGCCGTTGTTAGTCGGTCGAGAAGATATTGAATTGCGAGTTCCAGAAGCAGAAGAAGGCGATGATGACGAGGACTATGAAGATGACGACGATGATGATGAAGAAGAAGATGTGCCGCCATCCCCTCAGGACCTCGAATACATTCAAGAAATCAAAAGGGTCGGTGTCAAACTGTGGTTCCTGCTGTTTGGTTGATGCACCAATTGCAGTCCTCTTCCATTTAACATGGTATGGTGTTTGACGTTTGGTTGATTTGATTTGGTTTTAGTCAGGTACTGGAGCTGCTGAAGAAGAACCGAGACATGATTTTCAACGAGGTAATTCGTTGATTCGTAGTTGATTAAAATGACTTGTTGAGGCTAGTTTCTTATATCAGGACGAGGAGATATTCATCCAATCCTTTGTTTTTAGGTTAAGCTGACTATAATGATCGAGGATCCAAGAGAAGTGGAGAGGAGGAAGATGTTCGGTATTGACGATCCTGATGCCCCTACCAGGGAAGAACTTGCTGAAGCTCTAGAAATGGTGAGAGATCACTTGCAATACTTCTACTTACTGTATTGTGGAGCCTGAACTTAAGGCTACTAAGCGATAGTAGGATTTTGCATTCTCTGGTCTGGCTGCTGAGATTTGGATTATACCTTTCGGTATATGCACTGATGTTTTACTATGAACTTGAGTGGCCTAAGGATTAAGTGTTCGATGAACACTCAGTTGGCTAATGTTAACAACTTGCTTGTAAAGTAGAAAGTCTCCTCACCATGTGCTAGGAAGTAGGAAAAGAAGAGTTTGGTCATCTGGTGAAATGGATTAGGGGAAATCAAAGTTGTGCTGCCCAGTTAAGGTTTAGGTTTTGCAATCGTATAATGATAATCTCGTCTATTGCTAGGAAATTCTTGTTCTTCTTGAACACTTTAGTTGTCTCATCTACAGCTCTGCCAATCATAATCTATCTGTTGCTGCTGCTGCTAAATGTAGAAACATCCATGCATCTTACTCTCACCTGGGGTTGTTTATAATATCAATTTTATTTCAGGTCAATGAGGGCAAGGTTCCCAGAAACCGCTTGGCACTCCGAATGCTAGCAGATGAAATGACGAATTGGCCTAACTTAGAGGTAATTAACCTGATTTGGCTAACACAGATTTGCCTATCAGAAATGCTGTCACACAAATCCGTAATAGCTTAATGTAAAAGCCTCAGAACTAGAAAGATATGGTTGACGATCAAAGATTCAAACCTGGGACATTACTTATATATTGACCGGAAAGAAATGGCATCGCCACATTCAAACTTGGGAAATTACTTATATATATTTGCTGTCATCCTTCTGGTTAGCCTGATAGCTGCACGAGTCTCTTCCTTTGGCAATTTCGTTTTCCTCATATGATCCAATCTGTGAAAAGGTGGAGGTATCAAAGAAGAGCAAGCCAACCAAATCATTGTACGCGAGGGTCACCGACACAGGTATAGATCTTAAAGAGGCTGCGAAGAGACTGAAAACTGACTGGGATTCAGCCGCCGAGATTGAAGATTCTGAAAACAGTGATGACTCAGAAGTACCTTCAGCTGTGGTTCGTCTCTCTCCCCAACATTCCCTTGTTCCTTCTCTTCTTCAGAAATTCAGCTTTCGATTACACCGTTTCCAGTCTTCTTGTGGATGTAGTAATAAACAAAGAAACGAACTTTTCTTGTGTTACAGGGCTATGGAGCTCTATATTTGGTCACAGCATTCCCTGTCATCATCGGTGTTTCAGTGGTACTGATCCTATTTTATAATTCTCTGCAGTAAGCAATAGATTCTCTTAATCTTCCTCATAACTACATTTTGTATCTACCTTCTACATTTCTGTATATTAATACTATTCATGGAAAAGTCAATGGCTTATATGCAACCCTCATCTCTCTGTCTTCCCCACCATATACTTTATTCATGTACCCTGCTCGTGGGTGGTGTGCCTCTAACAATCTGTAAACATGTAAATCACAACTTGCTGCTCAGCTCAGGCAGACATGGCGCCCACGTCTTGTAAAGTTCCATTGTGCACTCACTGTATAAATCCAGTCCCTTACCCCCATCCAACATCTCCATCGAAGCAACTCTAAGCCTGGTAAATCTTCAACGCCATGGCTCTCGTTGCTTCTGATTTGGGGCAGCTTTCGGCTCCCAGGAAAATGTTCCACAACAGGAGTGGGATGTACGAGTACGATCTCGAGTTCGATGTCTGCGCAACCGCGGAGCGTTTCCACGACCTGCAGTTTGCCGCCGCGGCCACTGGGGAATACTTGGCTCCTTCCTGGAGTCCTCCGCAACAAACGGAGAAGCAGATTTCCGTCGACCCAGTGTCGCTCAGGCTGCCGCCGATCGTGACGGCTCCCAAAATTCCGCCGCCGTCGCCGCAGGCTAAGCCTCCGCTCATCAGCTGCAGCCTTCCCAGCTCTCCGCGGTTCGGGTACTGGCTGAAGAAGAAATTCAAGAACGAGAGCCAGGCCTCCCCCCGCCAAATCGACGGCATGGCTCGCCGGAAAGGCTCCACCGTTTACCCTCATCAGCAGCAGCACCTCCACCATCCCCGCCTCACGCTGGAACAGGAGATTCACATGCGGCGGAGCAAGTCGTGCGCCGAAGGGAGATCGAGCGCCGCCGACGAGCTCGACATGTGGTTCAAGAATCCGGACGAATCGACCACCGATTCCGACACCAATTCTTCCCCGAGGACGATCTCGCCGATGGCCAGGAAGAAGAAACACGAGGTGGATCTCGACGAAGACGAATTCAAATGTGGCGCGCTCTGCCTGTACCTCCCCGGATTCGGCGGCGGCGGTGGGAAGGCGAGGCCGGTGAGGGAGAGGAAGGCGATGGTGGTGGAATCTGGAGCGACGACGATGAGGGAGAGCATCATTTCCAGGACGGTGTCGCTGGAGAAATTCGAGTGCGGTTCGTGGGCTTCGTCGGCGGTTGTCAATGACAATGACGCAGGCGACTCGACGCGGTTTTACTACGATTTGCCGATGGAGCTGATCAAGACCGGCGGGAGCGAGACTAATTCGCCGGTGGCGTCGGCGTTTGTGTTTGAGAAGGAGCGTAGAGGGGTGTTGAGGAGCTGCTCGACGGCGAGGGCCGCGGCGGCAGCAGCGGCGCACAGGAAGTCTCACGAGTCGTCGTTCAGGCACGTGAGGTTCTCTTCGTCGTCTTCGGGTTCGAATCCTTCGTCTCCGGCTGCGTGCATTACGCCGCGGTTGAGGAAGGCGAGGGAGGAATTCAACGCCTTCCTGGAAGCGGAAGCCAGGAGCGCCTGAATGAATTCACAGTCAATTACTCTGGTCTTGGTTGAATGCTATCTTTCTCTCTTTTCGGTTGACATTTAGTTATGGGCTTTTTGAATGTCAAAAGTGATGGGCTTTAATGCTGTAAGGAAGGGGCCGAGAAGGTAGTGGATATGGGCTTCGCTAGGCCTTTAGCAGGGCGATCAGTCCAAACAATTTCATCTACACTTCAGAGTTTGCTTTCTCAAAATTGCAACATTTGGTATGGAGACTTCTGTGTCTCATCCAACTTAATGATACATTTTTCATGGCTGATAGTGATAATGTCGATGGATGGAAATGCATTCGACCTTAGCTTACCGATTCGTGGAGCGAGAGCGGGAGCGCAAACGAGAGTGCGAGAGCGTTTATTCTTAAAGAATTATAAGTTTAGAGCATTGACAGAGCGTCACTATTATAGAATTTTCATTAAAATATTGTTCAAATAAATAATACCAAGTTTTGACAAAATACTTCCATAACATTAGAAAGATGAGACTGATTCAAAGTTCTATGATACATCCTACTTTAATATCTTTAGTTACCTAAAACTAAAAGGTGAAAGTGAAAAAAAAAAAAAAAACAGCACAACCCAAAACAAGCTAAGCATAATTACAGGGGAAAAAACAAGCTAAGCATAGCCCATAAAAACTTGCGGATGATAATAACTTTCCATGAGCCGAAGTGTCTTATTGTGCCCAAATTTGGCTGCCAGTCAAAATCCTAAACGGGCAATATACAGTAATATAGTTATTCTCCTAACTCTATAAGTGGTTAGTATATAATAACACGGACGGATTTGAGGCCACATCGCCGAGCCACGATCGGAGGGAGTGGACAATCAGGCACCGTCACATGAGGGGGAAGAGAGGGCCAGCTCGACAGGTTCAAGTTGAGTCATGTTTTGGTTGGGAAAAGCAGGCCCACAATTAAAAAAAAAACCCCAAAATTTTAAAACCCAAACCTCTTCTCTCTCCCTCAACCCACGGTTTCCATTCTCCCCACTCTCTCCAAAAACCTTTCGTTCCTCTCCCTCTCCGTTTCTTCTTCTCCCGAAAACCATCACAAAAAACTCAGACCGACGACTGCGAGGAAGGCGACGATGGCTGCGAGGAAGGCGACAGCTTGTTTGAGTCCACGGCGACGACGACGTTGAGCCTATCCCGACGAGGAGGAAGTTTTGGAAGATTTTCACCGTCCTTGAGGAAAGAAGACGAAGACGCCGCCGCCGGTAGTGGGTGGAAGAAGGAGGACGCTTTGGTTCAGGATGGCGTCTTCCCCTCTCCTTATTTGTTGATTTTGTTTGTAGATACTAAGTTAGAGTTTGATGGATTTTTTTCTGGAGATCTGGGTTTCGTTTATCGATTTCAAAATTTAGTGTTCATGCGATTCGAATTTGGGGATTATGGGTTTCGTTTCTTGATTTGTAGATTTAGGGTTTCTTGGATTTGATTTTAGGGTTCTGGATTTTGTTTCTAGGTTACCCGATTTAGGGTTTTTATTCGATTTTAGAGGTTTTGGATTTTGTTTCTAGATTATTTGATTTAGGGTTTGTTGGATTCGATTTTAGTGGTTGTGGATTTTTTTTCAGATTATCAGATTTAGAGTTTCTCGAATATGTTTTTGGGGATTCTGGATTTTCTTTCTAGATTGTCTGATATAGGGTTTTTTGAATTCGATTTTGTGGAATATGGGTATCGTTTGTCGATTCCTTGATTTAAGGTTTCATGGATATCTAGTTTTGTCACTTCTGATACTTGTTATGGATATCAAGAGACTTATTCTGTTCATTCTGGATATTAGTTTAGTGAATGGGGATATTATTCTGTTCATTATGGATTTTAGTCTGGGATATGTACGTACCTAATTATACTCTATAACTGTGTTTCAGGAATTTTGCGTGATGGGGAGATAGAAAAATAATGCAAAGAGAAACAATGAGGGAGAAGGATCATCATAGCAGGAGCCGGATGAACAACCACCACAGGTTTCATTTCTCACTTCGTTTCTCGATTAGTTATTGTTTCCGATACCTTTTCAAGGATATCATTTATCTGCATTTGGATACACTCTTGCTTTACTACGATAATAATTGGATATATTGGCTAAAAACTATTACTCTCATGTGTCGATATTAGTTCTGTTAGGGTGGATATTATTCTGTGCGTTTTAGTTATTTGTCTGGGGATTATGGATATTTTTCATGGATATCATTTAGCTGTGTTTGGATACACTCTTGCTTTACTACGATAATAATTGGATATATTGGCTAAAAACTATTACTCTGATGTGTCTATATCACTTCTGTTAGGGTGGATATTGTTTTGTGCGTTTTAGTTATTTGTCTGGGGATTGTGGATATTTTTCATGGATATCATTTATCTGCGTTTGGATACACTTTTGCTTTACTACGATAATAATTGGATATATTGACTAAAAACTACTACTATGATGTGTCGATATCAGTTTTGTTATGGTGGATATTGTTCTGTGCGCTTTAGTTATTTGTCTAGTGATTATGGATATTTTTCTTAATATATAACTGTGTTTCAGGAACAACCCATGAGGAAGAGAACCAAAATGGTTGCACAGAGATCTCGTCAAGGAGAAGGATCAAGGCAGCCACCGCCTGCTCAACAACAATAAGAAGTTCATGAGGAAGATGAGGAAGAAGATGATGAGGGACCCTGCGGCTCATACTTCAGATTTCGCGCCTCCACCTTTTTCCTATTCAAAGTGATAAGCTACTGGAAACAAGATGCTGATACTATGAAACATGCAAGAAAGAAGTCGAGAAGGCCGGATTCAGGGGGCCTATTGGACCTTCGAATGCCGAAAATTCCCAATGTCTTCATGGACGACTTGATGACTGCTTATGACATCTCAACCATTACTTTTGTTTTCGGGGAAGTAGACTCGAAGAAGGTGTTCGACTTCATACCTAAGGATGTGGCACGTGAGTACGACCTTCCTCTAGCTGGGGCTATGGTTAATTATGATACCGCCACGGGATGCTGATGTGTATAATGTTATATGTCTATAACACATCCCATGATGCAATGTTAATAGAAGTACATAGATATGATGGAAAATTCCGCATGGTGTATGAGAATAAATATGAACTATTTGCAACACTAGGTAGGGTAAAGTAAAGGTGAAACCCTAAACAAACCACGTATGACATATAACGTATATGTGAAAGATTGAATGGGCGAGGGAAGAAATTCCATGTAAATCTACATAGGTGTGACATAGGTAAAGTTATCAAGTGATTAATTATGCACCGACAAGCAGTGTCCAGACGAAGTTGCTGGCCTTCGTTCAATGCCTTTCAAGTATCTGTTCCTTCACCCTATGCCTTTCCTTTGTATTAGAAGATACCCACTTTCATGTGGTTGAGGCCTCGAAGCTCGAATCTCTTCCTTGCTCTTCGAATAGTGCTCTAAAGTGGCCATCTCGAACACGTTCCATGCTTTAGTGAATTTCAGGCAGTTCTCCGGTTTGGACTTCCACCTTGCCACAACCAGAAAACCCACCTTCTGCACTTCAAATCGAGCTCCAAAGCATGTATTCGTGTAGAGGATGACTCGAGCTTCAAAACAAGCCCTTGATCGTCCATTTTCACCCAGCCAATTCAATATTGCATACGTACAAAGTAGCGTACCTGAAACATTCTCAACACTTAGCCAAAAATCAAGGACAAGTGATTGGGAATGCTTCTCGGTCAAGCAATCCAAGCTTGTAAATGGACTCCAATGGAATCATATCACCAAGCACTGCCCTCGAGAGAGATGTAAGCAAGCGCCCAAAATCGAACTTCTTCCTTCATAATTCTCTTCCAATACGATCAACCCAGCTATACATATGGGCGCTGGGCCGTGATTGGGCCGGCACGGCACGGGCACGCTTCGGGCCCATTTATTTCGTGTCGTGCCATGCAAGCCCATTTGTTAACTTTGCTAGGCCTGACCTAGGTCTCGTGTCATGCTCGTATTTGTGTTTAATGAATAAGAAGAAAACAAAAGAGAGAATGAAAAAGAAGGTGAAAATAGGACGGAGGAAGATAGTATTAACCAATAATGTTTGAGAAAAGTAACAAATAAGGGGGAAAGAAAACTGGAAGCATAGCGAGTGTGATTTGGTTTTGTTTAATTCTTTGTCCATTTTTACTTATGTTAGTAATTATGTATATATCTTTATGACATTTCTAACAACAACAAATAATTATTTTTCTACTTGTGTTTTGTAATATTTGAACCTATAATTCTTTTTATATTTATTTTCTATCAAATAAATATTATTTTTGTGCCATGTCCGTTCTTATACTCAATAAAGTCTCAAAAATATTAGGCCCGACAAGGCCCACTTATATATCGTGCCGTGCCCATGAAGTTTAGGCCCGACACGGCCCATAAATTATTTTTGCTCGTGCCGGGCTGGCCCATTTATTTCGTGCCCGTGCTCGTGCCGAGTTCTAACCGTGTCGTGTCGTGCTAGCCCGTGGGCGGCACGGCCCGGTGCCCACGTACAAACCCAGCACACCGCCTAAGGAACCAGGGAGCCACAAGGAATAAGCGTTTGGAAATTTAATGTTAATTAGCTGTCGCCACCACGATTCTGTTTCCGTTGTGTATTTCCGCGGCCATTTACATAGTAAAGCAGAATTCAGACATTCAAGGTCGAGAATACCCAACCCGCCTCGATTCTTAGCAGCCTTACAAATATCCCACCGGACGAGGTGGTACTTTCTCTTGTCTTGAGCGCTGGACCAGATGAATTTTCGCTGAACCTTGGAGCTTTAGCCAAAGAAAATTGATAAACTGGTTAGCTTGACAGAGTACTTTTGCAAAGGATAATGCGGCCACCAAGCGACAAGAACTTGCTGCGCCAAGACTCAAGACACTGTTGGAATATCAAAAAGATAGTGTTCCAAATAGCCATAGAATTGGGAATAGAACCAAGAGGCAATCCATGGTACGTGGTCGGCATATAACTCCAGCCACACCCGAAAATAGATGCAAAGCTGCCAGGATTGGGAACATTTCCAATAGGGAACTTCATGATCTTCTCAATGTTAATATGTAGCCCAGTAACAGATTGAAAGCAAACCAAGGTGGACAAAAGGTGAAGCACTTGTTCCTCATTAGCGTCACAGAAGATAACTGTGTCATCAGCATACAGACGATGAGTGACTTCACCCCTAAGATTAGCCTCATCAATGAAGAAACCTGTAAACCAACCTTCCTCTCTCAGCTTTCCCAACATGAACAAGAGAACTTCCATGACAAGGAG